AGTGTATAAAACACAGAGTACAGTGTATAAAACACAGATTACAGCGTATAAAAAAACACAGAGTACAGTGTATAAAACACAGAGTACAGTGTATAAAACACAGATTACAGTGTATAAAACACAGATTACAGTGTATAAAAAACACAGAGTACAGTGTATAAAACACAGAGTACAGGGGTCTTACCGTGCAGTCAGTCTTGGTGATGTGTAAGGCTGCAGTTCTGGGGTCGACCTCCACCAGCAGCTCCTTCACCCTCCGCAGGATGTTCACCTCCAGGGGTTTGTTCTCTTTGGGCATCAGTGCTGACAGGTACCTACAAGGTCTGAAACTAGAGACCGTCTCCAGCACCGGTGCGAAGGTCACGTTTCCTTCCTCCGTCCTCGGTGGGTCAGAGCTCGACGAGCCTTCCTCCACCTGCAGCCTTTCCACGTAGCTCTGAGGGTACAGCTCTGTGTAGCAGCTTCCATCTTTATCAGAGGAGCAGGAGTCCTGTTCCAGCTGAGGGTGGGGTATGCTGAGATGCGGTCTCTGGAGGGTGTTGCTGGGTAAGGACTTGGATCTGGTTGTGTCTGAGTGCCTGGAAGGGTTTGGAGATGGTGTCAGACTGGCTGCTCGGTTGCAGCGAGGGCTTCTGGATGGAGAGGCTGGAGGTGAAGAGAGGAGGGAAAGCAAAGTTTGTAAAAGACATCACACCGTTTTACTCAGTTTCATCATCATCATGTAAAGTTTTAGCTTTGGTGACTTGTTTAGGCTTTGAATGATGTTTCTGCTGTGAAGTATGACTGAGCTGGGGAGCTCTGAAGAGGGCCAGAACCAGGGGTGGAGCCAGAGGGACGGCCGGGGTGGTAACTGCCCCATGTGGCACCTGATTGGCCACCACAGGGGCCACCCCAAAATAATTTACAAGTGGGTGGTGAGCTCAGATTTTGTATTTGCATTTATATTTTGTTAAAAAAAAACTTTACAATATATTTTTTAACTATGTATGCTTAAAATGGCTGAATTATAGACCTTTGTAAAATTTGAATTACCATTAGCTAAAGCAATCAGCACGTGATCATTCTCCATAACAAATTTAATCTCAATAAGTCTTAAAATAGCTGAATTATAGGCTTTTAAATTTAGCTGTGGTGGTCATCTTGCATTTTGGACTAGCATTTAGAATTTGGTAAAAATTATTTTTGGCTAATTCTACATTAATGTCTAAAAATGGTTGAATAATAAGTTGAAACACGCATTCAGCATTTTTTTTTGATCATTTTGGGCTACTACCACACAGAGTTTCAGTTCAATAATTTGTAAAACAACTGAATTTAAGCCATTTGGAATTAGCTGTGGTGGCCATCTTGAAGGGTGCTTTTCTTTACTTGTTTGTGCAATCATCGGTTGACTTTAAAAAGCTTTATTTATTTATTTATTTATTTATTTATTTATTTGTTTGTTTGTTTGTGCAATCATTGGTTGACTTTAAAAANTTCAGTACCTAGCTAACTATCTACTTTAAAGCTTTGAAAATCACCTTAAAACTGTGATTTTGACTCAGTTTTCAAAAGTGTTCCTTTAATTTTGATGTCAAGATACTCTTTTCTGTTAACAATTAATAATAAAGCTGCATAAAAACGTATATCTTGACTTTGAAAGTGCTTTTATTTAATTTCCACTATGAAAGATTCTGAAAAAGTTGGATCTATTTTATCTCACAAACCAATGTATTTACTAATTTAAAAAAAATCTGACAAACAATTCTCATCAATAATGAAATGAGGTTAAATTTTATTTGACCATATTTCTAAATGTAAATCAACATCTTAAACTGATTAACTTTCAGTTTTTTCTAATGCATGACAGCTTCCTGGTTTACACAGTTACAAAGCAAGGATGTCTTACCTTCAAATCATAGATTTCAAACTCTGTTTTACATAAACTTTAAACTTTAGGTTAATTGGCGAGGAAAGGGCAACAACACACCTGCAACTCCGAATAGTTGTTTTTGTACGTGTGTCACCAAATAAACCATAAAAGTGACAATTATAAATCAGCGTACACCATCTTGAAGGGCGGTTTTCTATATTTGCTTATACAATCATTGCTTGTGCTATTTTGTAGCACTTTGAAATTTTTGTTAATGAAAAGTGCGTTACAAATACAATTCATTATTAATTCCTTATTACTGTGCACTCTGAAAAACATCTTGTGCCACTCTTTGCAAAACGTTCCGCCCCTGGCTGGAGTTTGTTTTATTAAAAGCTTTTGTTTCCCTCATATTACTAAACCACATTTCTCACATCTTTTTTTATTTTTTATTTTTTGGCAAATTTAATTTACGTCACAGAATGTACCATACCCAAAAGTCATAGCTTAATAATCTTGATTAAGATGCCRTTTTGATGTTTAATCTGCATGTTTTTTCTAAGCTCTGGAGCATARAAACAAACTGACATTGTGAACAGAGGAGCGTAACGATATAAGATTGTGAGTTTGCACCAATCAAACTTGATTTCGAATCATGGGGGCAACAGTCTGAGCAGAAATCCCCTCTCCATTATCTMTCCCAACTAACCAATCCAGTTGTTCCAGCTGTTTCACTGAACTGTTTGCAWCAAAAAAAGCCTMGTCTTGTCAAGACGTGCCTGAARAATCTGCCTAAATCAACATCCTGATAGCATCTTTACAAAATGTTCAAACCTGATTAACACGGCAGCAGCTTCACTTTCCCCTCCTCCTAAATGAAAAGCTTTTCATGTCAGAGTTTTAAACTATAATCAGTTTGTTTTAGTCAAACAATAACATTATAAGATCATAAAATACTGCAACATCCTGTGTGATCTGTTAGTAGTTCTGTGTTGTGAATGACTTTCAGCTTTAAGACACTATTTTATTTATTTTATTTAACCTTTATTTCAACAGGCAAAACATTAAGAACAGTTTCTTATTTACAATGTTGGCCTCTAAAAGACACTAACTCAATATCTAAAATAATTTGTACCCCAGTGTGTATTTGTACATTTGACCTGTGTGCAGATTTCTTTTATTGTTCATTTTGTGACTGTAACACATCAAAAACTTTATTTGTTTGATTCCCTTCCTGTTATTGCAGAAGAAATGAACTTATCTAAACATTTAAGAATGAATAAAACAAAAAGTCAAATAAGACGGTGAATTTTCAGATATGTAAAAACATTTTCTGTTTGTTCTTTGCTCACATTTCTAAACTCTGAGAAAATATATATCTTGCATTAATAATTAACTCTAAAACTGAACTTTTACCTAAAATCTTTTTTCAAGCTTTTATGGTTTTCTTCCTGCTAATCATGTCTACATGAAAACTTAGCTCTTGTAAATTTATGTAACCATTGGTTTCATGATGCAACCCTTCACCAAAATGTTGTGAACTCAGTTTATTATTAATTTATCTTGTGGAAACATATTGATTGGTTTGTCAGGCAGGTTGTYAATGTGGAGGTTCTGCATGTACAGAACATCCAGTCTGTTTGGTTAAACACTCACCTTCAACCTTATCTTACAGCGCCTTTAAAKACTTCTTTTTTATTTTACTTCTGTATTTTTTATTTCTTCTTGTCAGTTGACTTCATTCTAAATATATATTTTAGATAAATTCTTTATTTGAAGATCCTGATTTATTAAATGTGCACAAGTWTATTAAAGGGGCTAAATATTTTTATTATTTTGTTTAAAACTTGAGGAAGTTGATCTAAGACCTTTGCCTTTGTCCTACAGAAACCTGCAGCCACTGATCGATGTTATATCATTACTACATCTAAAGTTCAACTCAGTTCACCAACTGCACAAATCTCTGTTCAGCCCTCCCCACAGATTTTTTATTATTATTATTCTGCTGCCATTTTATCCARCCCACACTGAACTTTAGTCCTGTTATCTCAGTGCCAACACCCAACAGGTTGTTCTGAGTGTCAGAGCAGGAAATCAGACCATCGTCTGCTGTGAGGGAGACTGGATGCACAAACATCAAGCTCCTCATTTCTGCTGGCCGTGACGCTGTCGGTAAGTCTTTAACATGAAAGACACACAGCGCACAGGAAAAAATACTAACAGCTACAAAAAGGTTTTTTGTTCCACAACGTTCCTAAAAACATAGTTTTGTAGATGAATGCAGCGTCAAATCCTGACAGTTAGAAATGATTTTATCAAACAGGTTCTTTGGTTCTTGCTGAAAACAACACGTCTTAATTTGTAACTGAAAAAAATTATACCTTCATGGTAAAGAACAGATTAAATAAATCCTGAAAGCAGATTTTGCCACAGATTCTTGGATAATGTGAGAATTGTTTCTTGGTGTTTAAGATCGACTCGTTTTCCACAGACTTCATGTCAAAACCTACAGTTTGGTTTATTAAAGCTATGAAACAAAATCTTAGATGTTCTGGAATTTTCAGAATCTCTTCCACATGTAAAATATGGATTCTCTTTCCAGTGTATACCCTTAAATATTTGCATTGATGTCTATAATTAAAGTAGAGAATTTGTGGGAATGCTTAAGAAGCTAAAACCAGAGTTGTAAAGTAACTAAGTACAAATACTTTGTTGCTGTACTTAAGTTGACTTTTTGGGAATCTGTACTTTCCTTGAGTAATTATTTTTCAGCCTACTTTTTACT